ACTGGAAAAAGCTTAGTAAACTTATTCAGTCTCAATAAGGCCTCAAAGGACATGGCGGACCTATCACCGGCCTGTGCTGCAACAACTGACTGAACTACCCCAACTGGCGGGACTGCTAGAGCCTGATTCTAGGGAGCCATCTGCTCCGGAGCGGGAGTAGTGGGAGTTTGTATTCCTCCCCCAGCCTGTGAGACGGCTGGTGCCACTGTAAATGTGCCATTCTAGGCCACGTCCTCCATAAGACTCACCAAATGGACTAGAGCGTCCTGAAGCATTGGTGTAGCTAAGAATCCTTCCGGGACCTGAACTGGTCCAACCGGTACATTCTGAACTGGAACCTCTTCCTGAAGATTCGCCTGAGGTTCTACAGCAGGTGTTGCTGCTCGAGCTCTAGACTGAGCTCTACCTCTGCCTCGGTCTCTTGCACGACCTCGGCCTCAACCTCTACCCCTGGCCATAGTTGCTACTGGGGGCTCTGGTCCCTGTCTGTCGGTAGATGTATTACGTGTCCTCGTCATCTGCGAGAGAATAAGAATAGAATGGTTCAATCATTGATGATAGAATAAAATCGCACGACAGGATAAGAAAGAAGTGATATTGTTCCTAAACTTCATAGCCTCTGAAAGATAAGTACAGACATCTTCGTACCAATTCTTCAGACTCTACTAAGTTTGCTCGTGACTCGTGAGACCTATGTAATATAGTGCTCTGATACCAACTGTCACGACCCGAAATTCATACCTTCAGGACCGTGATGTCGCCTAACATTTCACTTGGTAGGAAAACCAACGTTAGAATATAATTAGCCATTTTAACACAATTTTAAATTAATTAATAATAAAGAAACAAATGTGAAAATAAAATCTGAATTAAAGTGAATAATCCATAATAAACACGATATCTAAATACCATCCCAAAACTGGAGTCACAAGTGCACGAGCTTCTAGAATAATACAAATAAAGGTCTGAATAAAGTTCAAACTGTTTGAAATATAATGCACAGCTAAGATAAGATAGAAGGATACTCCAGAACTACGAACGTTGTGCAGTTATACCTCAAGTCTCCACTGGTAGATGTATCAGGGCAAATCTACAGTACGCCACTAGGACCAACTCCGAAATCTGCACAAGAAGTGCAGAGTGTAGTATCGGTACAACCGATCCCATGTACTGGTAAGTGCCGAGCCTAACCTCGACGAAGTAGTGATGAGGTTAAAGCAGTTCACTTACATTAACCTGTACGCAATAATAATAATAATAACAACAATAATAGAAATAAATCAGGTAACTCATTTTAATAGTTGAAGTCAACTCGGCAGTCATAACCAATTATTATTTCAATCAATTTTTGTTGCGGCGTGCAACCCGCCCCAACAATATAATTCCTCAATAAATTTCCATTGCGGCGTGCAACCTGCTCCAACAATATAAACTTTAAATAAATCTGTTGCGGCATGTAACCCGATCCCCCAATATAAACTTTAAATAACTCTGTTGCGGCGTGCAACCCGATCCCCCCATATAGTTTAACAACTCTTAAATGTAATAAAAATACTCAAATAAATACCATATTCAATGAGAAACTATTAAGCATCAAGGCATACAATAATTATAATTTATTTATGAAACAAACAATGACACGTAGCAATAAATTGTGAAAATCAGGGAGAAAATAGACAGTCTAATATTAAATATGCTAAATGTTAAGTAGCAATTAAGACACATAAATTAAATAAGCATGTGACAATTATTGCGGGAATTCAAGAATTAATATTTGACAAGGAATAGGAGAGAAATAATTATTATAACAATTAATTCGTGTCTTGAAACAATTTAAGACGTTTAAATAATTAAGCAAAAAATTAATTTGACAAAGTATAGGCACTCGTCACCTTGCCTATACATCGTTACACATGAAATTCACATAGCAAATAATTCAAGAATTCTATTCTCTCAAATCAAGGTTAACCACGACACTTACCTCGCTTTGTAACCAAATTTAAGAATCCAATAAACCTTTGCCTCGCGAATTCGTGTCCGAAATCCTCAAATCTAGTCATAAACAATTCAATATACTCAATACAAATCACAAGAATTAATTCCATATGAATTTACTAATTTCCGGATTAAAATCCAAAATTCATCTAAAAAATCGACAGTGTGGCCCACGTCTTGAATCCCGAAAAAACTCACGAAATCCGAACACCCGTTCCGATACGAGTTCAATCATACAAAAATTATCAAATTCCGACATCAGATTGGCTTTCAAATCTTCATTTTACATTTTTGAAAGATTTTATAAAATTTTCTTCCATAAATTCACAGATTTATGATGTAAATGAGTATAGAATCATGAAATATAATCAATATAGGATAAAGAACACTTACCCCAATATTTTTCCGTGAAAATTACCCAAAAGGCGCCTTACCCGAACTCAAAATCTTGAATAATGAAAAATGGGACGAAATCCCATTTCCAGAACTTAAGTTCTGCTGTTCAGGAATTTCTTTTTCGCGAACGCGATAGCTCCCTCGCGTTCGCGAAGCACATTTTTGTGTTGCCCCATATTTCTTCTTCGCGAACGCGAGGTCAGTCTCGCGAACACGATGCCTTGCCAAACTTAGCCTTCGCGAACGCGGTCTCCCCTACGCGAACGCGAAGCCTTATCGTGTGATGCCCGGCCAGGCCTTTCCATTCTACATGAACGCTCTCACGCGTTCGCGATGAATACTGCCCTCTACCCCTTCGCGAATGCGGTCCCCTCTTTGCGAACACGAAGAGTAAATTTCGCCTGCCTCCAGTTCCTCTTTACGAACGCGAGACCTCTATCGCGAAGCGAAGAAGGAAACCACACAGTGCATCAGAAAAATTCCAGCAGAGTTTCAAATCAAAAATTCAACCCGTTAACCATCTAAAACTCACCCGAGGCCCTCGGGACCACAATCAAATACACCACCAAGTTATAAAACATAATGCGAACTTAGACCTCAAATTACATCAAACAACACTAAAAATACGAATCACACATAGATTCAAGTAGGGGTGTCAATAGTTCGGTTCGACCGATTATTTTATAAAATTTATATCATACCAATTTTTCAGTTATTCTATTATGTATAACCAAAATTAGACTTTTCAAAACCGTCCCAATCATGCCGGTTTCACTTCGGTATTGATACGGTTCAGTAAATTTTCGATATTTTTTTAAATATCATGTAAAATTCACTAGTAGAAGTAGATTGCGATAACATATGTTCTTTTATAGGATTTAGCAAAATTTTCTAGACATTTTTACTGTTTAAAGGGTGATGAATTAAAAAAATATGAAAGGTGACTAGAGTATAGATCCATCAATTATTCGACATCAACGTAAAAGAAACCAAGTAAAAGCAAAGAAAATATAAATCACACGAGTGAAAAGATATTAACCAAACTGAGATTCAAGAATAAAGTCTATATTAAATATTCAAAAAGATAAATCTAAATTATATGAAAGAAAACATATTCAATACATTGTAGTTTGCTACCCATAATTGGTAGAATACTTTGTGTCTTGCTAATAAAGATACTTGTAATAACTTAGTTTTAGTAAAAGTAGCATAATAGGTTTTAGGAATTAGTATTTTGAGTTTAATTACTTGTTAGCTTATAACAGTTTTCATAAGTCCAAGGCCCAATGAAAAATTTAATGCTTTATTAGTTTTAAACTTACTATATAAATATTTCGCATGTAAAATTTATTCGGTACGGTTCGGTATTTTTTTGATTTATTTTTATAAAATAAAAAACATACCCTAATTATCGGTACAGTTATAGATTTATATAAAAACGTATGGTTTCTTTAAAAAATCGGTTCGGTGCGGTACGATTCATTCGGTTTAGTCGGTTTTCAAATATTCATTTACACCCCTAGATTCAAGCCTAATGAACTTTGAAACTTCCGATTTCTACAAACGATGCCGGAACCTAACAATCAAGTCCGATTGACCTCAAATTTTGTACACAAGTCATAAATGACATAACAGACCTACGAAAATTTTCAAAACTCGAATTCGACTCCGATATCACTAAAAGTCAATTTGTGGTCAAACTTTGAAATATTTAAGCCTTTAGGCTTCTAGTTTTCGCCAACCGGCGATAATTCAAGTTAGGGACCTCCAAATTAAATTTCGAGCATACGCCCAAGTTTCAAATCACGATACGGACCTATTGGAACTGTCAAAATACTCATTTGAATCTGTTTGCTCAAAATGTTGACCAAAGTCAACTCAGTTGAGTTTTAAAGCTCTATTTCACATTTTAATCAATTTTTTATATAAAAACTTTCCGGAAAATTATACAAACTGCACACACAAGTCGAGGAATGATGAATAGTGTTATTCGAGGTCTTAGAACACAGAAATAATTATTAAATTTAAAGATGACATTTTGGGTCATCACAATAATCAATAATATGATATTAAAGGACATTACAATGATTTAGTCCTATAATCATATTAAAATTTTGAATCCACAGAATGGAAGGGGTCTAGCAAAGAACAAGAGAATAAATTACTGAAACCAAAGAAAGGGAAATGTGTAAAGGGATTGAAATGTACTTGGTAAATACAAACCCATGTCATGCTCGAGATACTGTATCATATTATTGGTTGCCCAAAATGATCATGCTTCTGGACTTTTCTCAAGCTCGTAATTCCGGAATCTTAATATACCTTTGGGCTCATTTAACTGAATATATAAATAATCTTTTCACTATGTAGTAATACATTGATAAAACTCTAGAAATTTTCCTTTTTGTAAGAACAATATGTGTGATTCATGACAAGAGTGGGTTGCTCTAGCGGTAAGCATCATCCGCTTCCAACCAAGAGGTTGTGAGTTCGAGTCACCCCAAGAGCAAGATGGGGAATTCTTGGAGGGAGGGAGCCGAGGGTCTATCGGAAACAGTCTCTCTACCCCAGGGTAGGGGTAAGATCTGCGTACACACTACCCTTCCGAGATCCCACTAGTAAAATTATACTGGGTTGTTATTGTTTAATATGTGCTCAATTGTATTTCTGTATTGTGACAACCAAGATGAAATTAAATAAAAAGATACGGATCAAAGCCTAGAAAAGTAGGCCCACGAACCTTTCTTGCCTTCAAATTACCTATAATGAAAAAGATTCGAAGGTCATTAGAGAATGAAAAGATTTGAAGCACAAGGGATAGATTTTTTTGTCTTTCTTTCCGATTCTGCAATGGTCCTCTTTTATGTCATAAAATAAAATTACTTTGAGAGGAAAAGATTTAATAGAATTTAGAAATGGTCAGAAATTGTTGGCACTTAAACAAGAATTTTTTTGTCTTTCTTTCCGTTTCTGCAATGGTCCTCTTTTATGTCATAAAATAAAATTACTTTGAGAGGAAAAGATTTAATAGAATTTAGAAATGGTCAGAAATTGTTGGCACTTAAACAAGAAAAAAGTGGACAATTTTCATCGACTTTCTGTTGGCAGAAATACATTTAAACTTCCAAGTGCATCATGGCTCATCAGGAATTCATATTAATTCTGCTACATAAAGGATTACTTTCTATGTTCTTAGTCCAGGAATGAAAAAGAAAAAATAACAAGTACATAAAATGACTAAACAACAAGATTCCAATGTATTTTTTTTCTTATGCTTTCTTCTAACCTTCCTACCATGCATGTTCACCTTTAATGAATTACAGTTACAAAGTAGTAATGGAACTGATTTTCAAGCCTTACTTTCCATTAAAGAAGGGATACTAAATCTGAACAAAAAATATCAAAAATTGATAAAATCTTAACCAAAATATGTAACTTCAGAACAAAACTGTAAGAAGCTCGCATTCTAGACCATAAAACTATATACACAAACAGATTAACCAAAGTTTTCACATAACTAAGATTTGAAAACAAACACAGAGAAAAAGGTTACCTGATTCATCATTATGTTGATATTCAGTGCCACCGGCAGAAGTATTCAGCTCATTAGATTGACCGCCATGTGCTTCGGCTTCAGTGTAGTTCTGGTTATCCATCAACTGCTCAATAGATGGTTGGGTTACTGTCACAACCCAAAACCTAACCCGTCGTGATGGCGCCTATCAGTGGTACTAGGCAAGCCGACCTTTTCAAAAATACTTCCAAACTAAATATAAAAGTAAAGTAAAGCTTTCCATATCAGGAATTTTTCATAAAATCAAAGTTGAACTCAATATAGAATCAAAATGCGGAAACCAGCCCTAAACATTGGGGTGACACTAGTCATAAGCGTCTAAGTATTTAAAACTATTATAGTCAATGTCTAAATATCAGTACAAAATGGAAGGAAATATGGAAGGAGTAACAAGGTCCTGCGGACGCTGGCAGCTACCTTGCAGTCTCTGAAACTCAACCAGGCCTGGACTCAACAATCTTCGTGCTCAGACACACCTCGATCTGCACATGTAGTGCAGGGTGTAGTATGAGTACAACCAACTCAGCAAGTAACAGAAATAAATAAGGAACTGAGAAGCAGTGACGAGCTATACAGTACAGTTCATTTTAAAAGTTTTCATTAAAGAGTGAACATGCTTTCAAATCCTATGGTATAAGTCAAATCAGTTCGCGCTCATGTAAAACAGATATGAATCTTCCAGAAATTTCATAACATCAAATAACAACTAAGTGCAACAATAAATAAAAGCAAGTACAGCCTCTCAAGGCAGCAGTCACTCAACCCATCTCAACAGCTCACACTCTCGGCTCTCAGCCCTCAATACACACTCCCAATAGGTACCTGCGCTCACTGTGGGTGTTCAGACTCATGAGGGCCTCCTACATCCCAAGTGCTATAATCCGCACGGACAACTCACGTGCTATAATATCATATCTTGATTCGCACGGATAACTCACGTGATGCACGGACAACTCACGTGACATAGTATAAACATAAGGATCTGCACGGATAACTAACGTGTCATAGAACAATACCTCAGAACCAGACCCTCGGCCTTACTCAGTCATGAACCTCTCTAGTCTCATAGCTCTCAATAAAGAAAGGAAAAACAGCCCAAATCAAAGTGTTACACTATATCATCAGAAAAAATAGCAGAGACTGAGGTAAACATGTACAAGAAACACTATGACTGAATATAACTACCAGAAGCAGGAATATAGCCTAAGCATGATTTCTAACATGAAAGGCAGTCAAGTTCTAGTAGACAGGAATGCATATGAATACAAATAAAGGCCATTAGACTTCACAGTCTCCCGAGACGGACCAAGTCTCGATCCCTCACGGTGTACATCCACACGCCCGTCACCTAGCATGGGTGTCACCTCCAAACAGTCACATTATACCAAACTCCGGGTTTCATACCCTCAAGACCAGATTTAAAACTGTTACTTATCTCAACAACGTAGAACTCCTACTCCAGAATGCTCTTTCCTCTCGAACCGACCTCCAAATGACCCGAATCTAGACACAAGCAATAAAATACGATCAATATGAGCTAAAGGAATTAATCCCACAAGGAAAATACCAATTTATAGGCCAAATCCTGAAATTCACTCAAACCCTACTCCCGAGCCCACGTCTCGAAATCCAACAAAAGTCACAAAACCAAAAAGCCAATTCACTCCTGAGTTTACCCATACTAAATTCATTAAAATCCGACCTCATTTGGTCCCTCAAATCCCCAAATTACTCTCTCTAAAATCTCAAGCCCTAACCCCGTATTTCACTCCAAAAATCCTACTAATTAGGTGAGAAGTTAACGGAAAAATACCATAGCTAATGATAATAGAGCTCCAGTAACTTACCTCAGTGAATACACTTGAATCCCTTCAAAAGTCACTCCAAGAGCTCCAAAAATCGACTTGAAAGTGGTGGAAATGAACCAAAATTCGCGAAGTATTCAATTTATAGTTTCTGCCCAGGTTTTTCGCACCTGCGGCTAAATATGCGCACCTGCAGTGCCGCATATGCTCAAGAACCTCCGCACCTGCGAAAAATCAATAAAACCCCCAACCTCGCACCTGCGCTTCATATCCGCATCTGCGACCACGCAGGTGCGGAAAAAACCTCGTACCTGCGGCCACTGCCTGACCTCTCACTTCCGCTTCTGCGGGCACCTATCCGTATCTGCGGACTCGCAGATGCAACCTCTCCTACGCACCTGCGGACCCAGCCTACCTCAACACTGTCCGCACCTGCGAACTCCCACGCGCGCCTGCGACCTCGCACCTGCAGCTCCCCCTCCGCAGGTGCGAAATACCAGTAACAGCAGCTGCTGCTTTATTTTTCAATTTCAAACAATCCATTAACCACCCGGACTCACTCCGAGCCCCTCGGGACCTCGACCAAACATACCAACAAGTCATATATCAACATATAAATTTAGTCGAACCTTCGAAACACTCAAAACTACATCAAAATACCAAATTACCCTCGGATTCAAGTCTAAGAACTTCTAAACTTCCAAATTCGACAACCGATGCTGAAACTAACTAAACCATGTCCGAATGACCTCAAATTTTACACACACGTAAAAAATGATATCACGAACCTACTCCAACCTTCAAAAATCCATTCCGACCCCGATATCAAATTTTCCGCAGCCGACCGAAATCGTCAAATTTTCAACTTTCGTCAATTCAAACCTAATTTCACTACGGACCTCCAAATCACATTCCGGACGCGCTCTTAGGTCCAAAATCACCTAACAAAGCTAATGGAACCATCATAATTTAAATCTGAGATCGTTTACATATAAGTCAATATGTGATTGATCTTTCCAACTTAAGCTTCTACTTTAGAGACTAAGTGTCCCAATCCACTCCGGACCCGAACTAACTAACCTGATATATCATAATACAGCTGAAAAGCACAAAAGGAAACAGAAATGGGGAAAACGGGACTATAACTCTCGAAACAACCGGCCGGGTCATTACAGTTGCAGAGTAGTTTTTACCATCCATCAATTGCTCAATAAAAGGTCGCATATCTCCATCATCATCTTGTTCAATTACCAGTCGGTTGCGCCTCTAGGTTGCATAGTTCCTTTTCCAAGATGAAGAAATTATCTAGCTTCATTACTTTATACTAGTACCAGAATAGCTCCAACAGACTAGTAGGTCATATGCAAAATAGGAGAAAGCATCTTCCTCATCTCAAACTGTTAAAAACAAATAAATAGCGATCTATGTACACACACACAAAGTCTTGCGACACACATCCTCATCATATGACGGCATAATACCATTAACTACAAGATGATCATATGTTGTAGCCTGATTTACTTGATGAATAAGCACACATTTCATACAAGGACATGTAATTTTTTCTCCGCCTTGTTTTCCAGAAAAGGCATAGTTCATAAAATCTTCTACTCCGTCCAAGTATTCTTTACTATATCACAATACATCCATTTTTTTTTTCTAGGAATGTCATGTTTTTTCCCTGAAATTACTGTAAGAACTAAAAATAATTAGTAAAAGGGAGGAGAATTCTTAGTGAATTAAGAAACATGGAAGAAGCAGACAAAATAAGAGATAAAGTTACTCTACAAAAGCAAATCAATATCTGTAGTGTATGCCATCTTTTTTTCTAGCACCAATGGGTATAAGTTCATGATTTAATTTAAATAGCTTTAAGGATTAGAGAATCATGATCTAACACCTATTTCTCATGAACTCCATCCTAACCGATCTTTTTACACACAAACACGTTGATCCAGATTCATCATATAACAAAGACAGAATAACTACTACTTTCAAAAAAGACATTTCTATTCTAATAACTGATATAAAATCTCCATAAAAATACAACTTTCACTACTTAAAAATCAAAGAAGATTAAAGTATTACCAAATCCAAAAGACGACTTGAACTTGGTATAATTTCAAGGCGATCATCATTAAGAATGAAGTTTACTATGATGAAATCAACAAGAAAGAGTTCCTTCATAGCAAAGATTTTTAAATTGCTAGTAGTGGATGTTCACGTAGAATAATCACACAACTTCAATAATGAGACTCGGTCTATCTAGCCAGAAGAAATAGTTCTGAGAATGAACACAAAGTGCAGCAAAATATTCCACGAGCATAAACAACTACCAACATTATAATTCAAAACATAAACTTTTCTCCACCCTTAACATTCAATCTGCCAAGCTAGCTAATTGAATTGATCCAGCAAATACAATTTCAACCATACCGAGAGATTTTAAATTCAAAATTATAGTCTCCCTAAAACAAGAACACCACAATTAATTATAAGAACTGTCTTAAGTTATCTTATTTAAATCAATTCAATTATATTATAGCAAAATAAAAAAGATTAGGAAGATATTTGAGAAATAGGATGATCTTAGTAGCTATCATGAATGACAGTCCGAGGAGACGAAATTTTCATCATCTGACTTAATAAACACATATGTAAAAACATAGAGCAAAAGCTATTTAATGGCAATCAACACATTCTTAACAAACAAGACCTTGTAGAAAGCACTAAAGTCTGCTATGTTTTTAAGCACAAAGAATAACAAAACAATAAAACATGAGATATAGCGAAGAAAGGTGTTTATAAGGGAAAAAATTGAGTTGGGCTTTTAGGTATTAAGTCAAAAAGGTTCAATATTTCTGTTGTCATATGCATTGAACCCTAAATTCTAAAAGATAGAGATAGAAATAGAAAATGTATAAAGAGAAATTGAAAAATATTGAATTAGAAATAAAGAGATTAATCAAAACCGTACCTACAACCTACGAAGAATTTTGTTTGTTGAAGGCCAAATTGCAATGTTAGGTTTTCTTACTCCTAGAACTTTGCAAAGCTTATGGAAGAGTCGTAGTTTGAGGTCCAAATTACAATGAGATTCGTAGTATTTTTTTTAAGAAAAAGTGGAGTGGTAAATTATATAGGAGGGAAAATATTTAGAGCGAAACATAAATTGGAGGGAAGAGAAAAAGTAAAAACAAAAATTTTGCGGGCTATTCTCTTGAATTGCCACTAAAAATATACTTATTGCTGACCAATATTATTTGGCAGCTAATATTTTACCTTTACTATATATTTTAGCGGCAATTATGCTATTACCACTAAATAATTGCCGCTAAAACCACCTTTTGTTGTAGTGGTTATTAATCTTTTTGGTGAAACAGCTGTAGTTGAAACAATGGCTCTCAACAACAATGATCTTTTCGGAAATATGCTTTTGAGGGTGTGGACGTGGAAGATGACCAAGTAGAAGAGATTCCTCCTGAACCTCAAGCAAATAGACGAGGCCGGCCGCCTCAAGACAACGTTCCTGTTCCACCCCACCTCCACCAAGAGCGGCTCCACACCGGGTGTTGCCGAATGAAGGGTATGAAAGTGTCATAGTCTCGCCCCGCATTAGGGCGGGCAACTTTCAAATCACAAATGTTATGCTCACATTGCTAGAGCAACATGGATTCTTCACCGGAGCTCCGAATCAAAATGCGTACAAACACTTGAAAAGATTTGTGGACACTTGTTGGGGGAGTAAACACACAAACGTCTCCGATGATGCTTTAAAGTTTAGGCTATTTCCTTTATCACTACGAAGGAAAGCCTTGGATTGGTTAGAAAGGTTGCCAAACCATTCCATCCATACATGGGATGAATTGGTGGAGAAATTTATTTTCAAGTTCTTTTCTCCCGAGCATATGACTACTCTTGGAGACAAGATTCTAGCATTCAACTAAGAACCCAATGATCCTTTGCATGAGATATGGGAGAGGTACCAAACTATGGTAAAAGAGTGCCCGAACAATAACATGACTGAGGCTATGATTCAACAAACTTTCTATAGAGGGATCAATACAACCAATCAATGCATGGTCAACCAACTTGCCTGTGGAAATTTCCTGACAATACCATATGCCGAAGCTTGTGAGATCTTAGATGAAATGGCGGATACTTCATCGGCATGGCAAAGTAGAGAAAATATTCCTCAAGATAATCCAAATGTGATTCAGCTACATAAAGAATTACATGATCATGGGCAAGCAATTGCCGAGTTGACCACCACAATGAATCAATTAGCAAAAACTCAACTTCAACAAGTTCACCGGGTGTTTCCGAATGAAGGGTATGAAATTGTCATAGTCCCGCCCCGCATTAGGGAGGGAAACTTTCAAATCACAAATGTTATTCTCACATTGCTAAAGCAACGGGGATTCATCACCGGGGCTCCGAATCAAAATGCATACAAATACTTGAAAGGATTTGTGGACACTTGTTGGGGGAGTAAACAGACAAACGTCCTAAGCAAGTAAATGCAATGCAATGAGTAAATATGATGGTGAACAAGCGAAGGCAAAAGGGTCAACAAGTGAAAAACCGTGCGGAACAAAATGTGCAATAAGATAGTAGGTTTGACTAAGATGAATCTTACAATAAACAAGAGAAAGAAGTACAATATGTGAGCAACTTCCAAGGACAAAGAAACAACTCTCAAGGCCGAATCAACAATAATGGCGATCTCAAGGTAATCAAGGGAATTGGAACAATCAAAACAACCAAGGTAATTGGAATGGTCAAAACAATCAAGGGAATTGGAACAATCAAAACAACCAAAGAAATGGGGGTGGCAATAATCAAGGATATTGGGGAGGCAACAACCAATGGAGGTGGAACAATTATCAAGGGAATCGGGGGTCAGATTTTCAAAGGCCCCCGATGTATCAACAACCAAGCAACTCGCCTCCTTATCCTTCCCATGATCCTAGCTCTTATAACAATGATATGGGGCGAATTGAGAACATCTTTAAACAAATGATGGAGAAGAATGCCACTCCGATACTCAACTAGCTTCTCACAACACTTCAATTCACAATTTGAAAGTTCAATTGAGGCAAATCTCGCAAGCGTTAAACACTCTTCTTAAAGGGGCACTACCAAGTTACATGGTGGTTTACCCGAAGATGAGATTCCAAATAGTGTGGTGCAAGAAAATAACGAAGGGAGAATTGATATTGATAAAAATATGGAGGAGACTCAAGAAGAAGTGAACCCGTCTAGGGAACACATGGTTGACATACCAGAACCGGTAGTGCCAAAGGCTAAGGCACCAATGCCAAGGACTCATCCTCCATACCCTAAAAGGTTTGCCAAGAAAAATGGCAAGAACTAATTCAAAAAGTTCATTGACATGATGAAGAGCTTATCTATTAATGTGCCATTGGTTGAGGCTTTAGAGAAAATGCCCGGATATGCAAAGTTCATGAAGTATTTGGTGAAAAAGAAGAGGTCGATGAATTGTGAGACTATAAAGATGACACATCAAGTGAGCACAATTATGCACTCAATGGGTCCTAAATTGGAAGATCCCGGTGCTTTCACAATCCCTTGCACCATTGTAAGCGCCGACTTTGCCAAAGCTCTTTGTGATCTAGGGGTGAGTATCAACTTGATGCCCTACTCAGTTTTCAAAACGTTGGGGATTGGACAATCAAGACCCACTTCTATGTGGCTACAAATAGAGGTATCATACTATGAAGAGACCATTGGGTATTATTGATGATGTGTTGGTTCGAGTTGAAAAGTTCATCCTCCCGGCGGACTTTGTGATTCTTTATTATGAAGTGGACTATGAGGTGCCTATTATTTTGGGTAGACCTTTCCTTGCTACGGGGAAGGAACTTGTTGATGTGGAAGCCGGCGAGCTCACCTTCTTGGTGGGTGATGAAAAGGTGGTTTTCCATATGTGCAAATCTATGAGACAATCGAATAGCAATGAAGTTTGTTCGTTTGTGAACTTAGTGACCGAGGTGATTGTTGATGATGCAAGTGCCATGATGAATGTTGATGATACTTTGGAGGCCGTATTGCTTAACCATGATGATTATGAGAAGGATGGCTATGTGGAATGGTAGACTCTATTTTGGCGGTGCTACAAAAGAGGAAGAAAGCTATCAGATGGACATTGGCGGATATATTCAGGGTATAAGCCTCGCCTTTTGCGTGCACAAGATTATTTTGGAGGAGGATGTCAAACCCTCCGTTGAACATCAAATAAGACTAAATGAAGCAATGCAAGAGGTGGTGAAGAAGGAGATCATAAATTGGTTGGACGCCGGGGTTGTTTACCCCATTTTCGATAGCTCGTGGACCTCTTCGGTGCAATGTGTCCCAAAGAAAGGGGGCATGACTGTAGTCACCAATGACAAGAACGAGTTGATTCCTACAAGAACGGTGACTGGGTGGAGAATGTGTATGGACTATCGCAATCTCAACAAAGTCACAAGGAAAGATCATTTCGCACTTCCCTTCCTTGATCAAATGCTTGATAAGTTGGCCGGTCGTGCTCTCTATTGTTTCCTTGATGGATATTCCGGCTACAATCAAATTCTTATTGCTCCAGAGGACCAATAGAAAACTAATTTCACATGTCCCTATGGTACTTTCACATTCTCGCGGATGCCATTTGGGTTATGCAATGCACTGGTGACTTTTCAACGGTGTATGATAACTATCTTCACCGACATAGTGGAGGATTTTCTTGAGGTATTCATGGATGATTTTTCTGTGGTTGGTAATTCCTTTGATGATTGCTTAAAAAACTTAGATAAAGTCTTGGCCAGATGTGAGGAGACAAACTTGGTGCTCAATTAGAAGAAGTGTCACTTCATGGTCGAGGAAGGCATTGTCCTTGGCCACAAAATTTCAAATAATTTTATTGAGGTCGACAAGGCCAAAATAGAGGTGATTTCTAAACTCCCACCCCGACATCCGTGAAGGTAATGAGGAGCTTCTTGGGTCATGCAGGGTTCTATCGCCGTTTCATCAAGGATTTTTCCAAAGTGGTGAACCTCTTGTGTAAGCTTTTGGAGAAGGATTCCAAATTCAATTTCAATGAGGATTGCATGAAGGCATTCGAATTGCTCAAGTTCATATTGACTACTACTCCTATTATGACCTCACCGGATTGGAGGTTGTCTTTTGAGCTCATGTGTGACGCAAGTGATGTGGCGGTCAGAGCAGTTTTGGGGCAACGTATCGACAAAATCTTCCATCCGATCTACTATGATAGCAAGACCATGAACGATGACCAAGTCAATTATACGGTGATCGAAAAAGAGCTCCTTGCTATTAACTTTGCTATGGAGAAGTTCCGCCCGTACTTGATGGGTACAAAGGACATTGTCCACACCGATCATGCGGCGCTTCGATACCTAATGAGCAAAAAGGATTCAAATGCGAGGTTAATGCGGTGGGTGCTTTTATTGCAAGAGTTCGATCTCGAAATCCAAGATCGCAAAGGCAGTGAAAACCAAGTGGCGGACCACTTGTCTCACTTGGAGGAGGAGGTGAGGCCACATGACGACCTTGAGATTAATGACTCATTCCCCGACGAGCAAATTCTAGCCATTTCAATGACCGAGATGCCATGATTCGCCGACTTAGCAAATTATCTTGTGCGTGGTATTGTACCGAATGAGTTCTATTCAAACCAAAGGAAGAAGCTCAAACGAGATTGCCTTGACTATTATTGGGATGAATCGTATCTCTTCCGGATTTGTACCGATAGTGTGATTCGACAATATGTACCGAAGGAAGAACAAGTGAAAATTCTTGAGGCTTTCCACTCTTCACCATATGGTGGTCACCATGGTGGAGCAAGAACGACAGAAAAAGTATTGAGTTGTGAATTCTATTGGCCTACCCTATACAAGGACGCTAGTGATTTAGTCAAGCATTGTGATGAATGTCAAAGGGCTGGTGGGATTTCTAAGAAAAATGACATGCCCCTCACCACCATCTTAGAAATTGACATTTTTGATGTGTGGGGGATTGATTTCATGGGACCATTCGTAAGCTCTTGTGGGAACATTTGGTAGATGTGGA